GCAGATACCAATATCTTTAAAATGAATTTTATGAAAAAAATATTGAAAAGGATAAATCAGACATCGTTTACCAGTAACAATTAATACTTCCATATTAACAACAGTTGACATTGTAATAATTAGCCAATCATAATAAAGATTTTTTCCTATTTTATTGAAATGCATATTACATTGAATAATATTAATTCTAATGCAATTGTTTTGTAAAACACTTTTTAGCTCACCTGAGCTGAAAGCTCAATTGAGCTTTTCTGATCACATTTCGTCCGGCGTCCGTCTGTCTGTCCGTCTGTAAACTTTTCACATTTTCGACTTCTTCTCAAGAACCGCTGGGCCAATTTCAACCAAACTTGCCATAAGGTATCCTTAGGTGAAAGGGATTCAAGTTTGTTCAAATGAAGGGCCACGCCCTCATTCAAGGTGAGATAATTGGGAATTAATGAAAATTTGGTGGCATATTTTTAAAATCTTCTTCTCAAGAACCTCTGTGCCAGAAAAGATGAAACTTATGGGGAAACATCCTCAGGTAGTGTAGATTCAAGTTTGTTCAAATCATGCCCCCCAGGGGTAGGGCGGGGCCAAAATGGCCGACCAAAGTTTTACATAAAAATATATAGGAAAATTCTTTAAAAATCTTCTTCTCAAGAATGACAAAGCCATAATTCATCATATTTATATGGAAGCATGCTCAAGTAGTGTAGATTCAAATTTGTTCAAATCATGACCCCCAGGGGTAGGGCGGGGCCAAAATGGCCGACCAAAGTTTTTAAAGATATATATAGGAAAATTCTTTGAAAATCATTTTCTAAAAAAATAGCAAATCAATGAGTGGTCATGGGACTACTTTTGGATTTAAACTATACAATAAAAAGCCATTTTCTACTTTTTCCTACCCTAAGTGCTCAGGTGAGTGATGTGGCCCATGGGCCTCTTGTTAATTGGCTAATTCACTGATGTTTGAGGCAGTAAGACGAGCATTAACGAGCGTGAAAGCTTTATCATTGTGACGTCACAATAGAGCGACGCAAAACACAATGCTCCGTGACGTATTTCATGTAACAGAATTCATAAAAATAAGACATAATCAACAAACGAAATGCATGGATTGCATTACAATGGAAATAACTGATCTTTTAATTTGGTATTTGCGACCGTTAATGCTGATTTAATGGTCGCAAACAACCGTTTTACCGGCTCCGCTTACGCATCGCCAGTAAAACTCAGTTTGCGACCGTTAAATCAGCATTAACGGTCGCAAATACCAAATTAGAAGATAGTTATTCCCTAATTCTACTCAGGAAAAAAGCATTTAAAATTCCCTTAAGTTTATTTTTACTTAAACACAAATTTTACTTTGCGTTTTAAGTACATATTTAATAACATGTAAATCTCATGATCATTGTCTCCAATGAATTGATCAATACTTAATGTTCTATAAAGTTTAACCCCCTGGAAAAAGTGGCATAGATCCATAAAATATCTAACTGGAATACTGAAAAATTTTAAATGTATTCAGAATACTTGTTTTGAAATGCCAAAAAAGATTAGAGAGACGGGATGTATAAATTAAAATTTATTGTCGATTTGTAGAAAGGGTGTTCAAAGTTTGTCACGTCGAAAAGTGACGTTGATGATGTATAATAGATGCTGAAGTCCGACAAGCAAAAATGCTGTTATAATTATGTTAGGGTTTTTCACTTTATTTAGATCTATTCACAAAATTATTTGCATTAAAATCAGCTGTTCGTGATATTGTACATTGTACAATCAAATACTGTAGACGTTCTTTTTTACACGGGGTCATTATTCCGCGGAATCTCAATTTTTGTTTAATCCGCGTATAGAAAATACGCAGATTTCTTAGACTGTTACTATATGCTTTACATTTATATAAGGTACGCTTGGACAAATTTCCGCGGAAATTTAGTGACCGCGTACATAGCGTAAATTAATACCACGCAGAAAAAAGTACTTCTACAGTAAAGAAGACCGGTTTTAATATCTTATTAACTTCGAAGAATCTCATCAAGATAAGTGTATGAGGTAGAAAATGTTGACCCCGAGAGTCAATGACGCCATGGAACTAAATGGCGGCAGCACCGGGTGATCAATTAAGTTTTTGTCCCCCACTTTCTCGAAAGCGAGGGGGATATGTATGTCTGTCAGTTAGTCTGTCTCTCCGTCCGTTAAAAAAACGTTAACCTTGCCCATAACGTTTGATTAAGTGGAGCTATGACTTTCATATTCCACATGTGAATTCCTTGTGACAAGACTTTCTTTGGGTACATATACCATCAAATTTGACTTTTTTGACCTTGACCTTGGAATTCCACCCACTTTTACACAAAAGTTCAAATATTTACTTTGGCCATAACAGCTCATACTAAGATTCTTATATTTTACCTATGTATATTTTGTGGCAAGACCTTTCATTGAATATCAATAACTTAGACCTTTTTACCTTGACTTTGGAGATTTCCGGACTTGTGAAAAATCATTAACCCTGGCCGTAACTTTAAAATGGAAAGGGCTAGGGCTTTCATACTTCACATATGTAATCCCTGTGAGAAGTCCTTTCATTGGATTACAATAATTTTGACCTTCTGACCTTGGAGTTTGGTCTACTTAAATTTTAAAAACTTTAACCTTGGCCATAACTTTTGAAGGGTAAGGGCTAGGGCTTTCATACTTCATATATTTAATCCTTGAAACAAGACCTTTCATTGATATTAATAACTTTGACCTTAGAGTTCAAGCTACTTTTTAAAAACTTTAATCATGGCCATAACTTTAGAAAGGTAATTGCTAGGGCTTTCATAAGCTTCAACTTGGGTGATAATCTCTAAATGATATATGATAGGGTGTTTATATTTGACATCTCACTCACAAAGACACCGAGGGCGGGGTACCACAATTCTTTGAATTTGCTTTTATCTATTATTATTTTTTAAGGATAATTTGATAAATATACAGCTGAAGGTATCAAGCTAAAATTTTCAAATATTTCTTTAACAATTTTTTTTTGCTGTTCCTTAAACATTTTTTGAGCATAAACTAGATGGTATAGTTTTTTCGTATCATTCAGTGACTTTTTCGAACATCCCGCGTTCAGTTTTACTGTTCTCATAATCCTATTATACCATTATTAAATTAAAAGTACCAAATTGTTTCCTGTCACTTCAAAGTGCATATCAAGTCATGAAAAAGTCTTTTTTTTTAAGTACATCAAACTCCAAGATTAAGTCAATAAGTTTAAAAATGTTTATATCTAAGGAAAGGCTTTTTCCCTTGAATAAGACATGTGAAATATGAAGGCCATAGAACAAGAAGTTTCAATATTATTTTCAAAGTTAACGTTGTGTAAATTTGGTCATACTCAAATGTCAAATTCAAAAGGTCAAGGTTTACATGTATTGGAATGTTCAAGGTTCTATGGACAACAAACAACCAGATTAACATATAAACTAACAGACAGATGGGCAGAATTAAAATTACAATAAAACATTCGCAGTACAGTTAAGGTGCGCAATGGAAATATCGACTAAATTTTGTATTTGAAAATATATTCGTAATCGGGATGGCGATTATTTTTAGTACATTATTTATATCGGATAATTGTCATGATTAATAACTACATATCGAGGACGATTATATTCTATATTTAGACTAGTCACGTGATGCGGCAGTCACGCGATTTTAGCACATTGACTTGAAGTATTGATGTTACATATAAATATCACTAGTGCAAGGGCATAACCAAGTTAAATTTCCAAGTTTAGTATATAAATATTTTCAACACGCATTGTAGTTTCTAAAAAGTGCTGCGATCCTGTCTAAATTCTGCAATTTCATTGTTAAAATTATACTTGTATGACCGAATGCTATATTTTTTGATAGTCAGCGGCATGAAATATTGATATAATTAAATTCTTTTTAAGATTTCATCAGGATCTCAGCACTTTTCAGAAACCTTGATAGTTCTTTAGTTGAAATGTAAAAGCTTACTTTGATCCATAGAGTGTATGTCCTTGCACTAGATCGATTTATTAAGACCCCCACATTACCCTCCGATGTACTTGCATACGAATATACGGCAGTGTCAATTAGATACGTAATATACAGAGAATATATTAATAAAATAGTGAAGAAGATATTAAATTCAAGTTATTGGCACATAGAATATCTGTAAATGATATTTTATTTAATTAGAGAATACATATTTTGTTGAGAAAATATTACTTGATCTGTCTCTCACTGCATACAAACTACGCCACGTTGTAAGAAATGACATCATATTGACAAGTGTATTGCGATCAGTGACTTGTTTATAACTTGTTATTTGGGATTTAACAATGATTAAACAATACGTTGTAGTAAGTTTTTATGCAATCTAATTAAAATCAGACTTCTTAGATCCGCGCCGTATACACTCTGCGTAAGAAGATCTGACATAACCCGACCAGGGGTCATGTTCACGTGAACTTTATGACGTGAATATTCATTTAAAAATAAGCCAATCAAATCGTAGCAATCTTCAGTCGTTAGGAAGGTGTTTAAAAATGGCTGACATCGATCGAGCGATTGTAAATATACAACAACAATTAAACATCTCGTTAAAAAATGAACAGAAAGAAATACTGGAGTTGATCCTACAGAAGAAAGACTGCGTTGGTGTATTGCCCACGGGTTTTGGGAAGAGTCTTCCGTATCAGTTGTCCATATTAACAAGACAGGGACTGACGGAATCAGCTGATCGAGTTGGGAAAGTTATCGTGTGTTCTCCACTAGTAGCACTGATGAAGGATCAAGTCCAACGTGTGCACAGACTAACAGGATGTAGAGCCGAGATACTAGGTAATAAACTTTTTGTGTGTGTACAAATAAATTAAATGCATTTTTTTTAATTTGTAACTCTATGCATATATAGCTATAATCCGAGATTCCTCTGACTCTAACCCCCGCTTTTATATTGTGACTTGTGCGGGGAATTCACACACCGATCTCCATTCTCGTAATTTACAATTAAAGAATTCATTTTAAATACGTTTTGATGATAGTATATCAATGATATATAAGAAATAAATATAATTTTTGAAGATGCTGGGGAAGCTCCTAAGATATCTTGTGGGTGAGAGAGTTTATGTGTGTTAGAAAAAAAATAATCATGAATAAAATATATGTTCCCTTGACCCTAGCTGCAGAACTGTAAAAAAAAATTAACTTAAATTATGACACACATCTGTATATACACATCTTTTAATCTTATTATTGTAAAAAAAAAAAAAAACTTTATGTCTTAATTCTCAGATGGTCCCTTAATTGGAAAATAAAATTATTTTTTCCATACATTTGGATTAAACATTTGAATTCCTGATTATTTGCTTGACCTTTCATCAATTTTACACATGAAAACTCATTGAAAAGACTGTGGCAGAAAACAACAAGAAATAAGTTGTATTTTTTAAACATATTACAGGCAATGACAAGACAGGTGATTTTGCCATTAGAGATGGTAAAGTGGATTTCATATTTGGATCCCCAGAGACTCTTGTTGGGAACAAAGAGTGGAGGTCTTCGTTGCAGAAACTTCAAGTTGACACCATAGTAGTGGATGAATTTCACACAATAGCAACATGGTAAGTCATATATGTTTACCTAACTTAAATCATGCAGCATATTCCTATGTCCCTGTCAGTGACACATAAACAGAATATGACATGTAAATTGAATAAACAGAGTATGACATGTAATATTTTTCCTTAATCAATTGCCAGACTGTCTAATGTGTGTTACACTGTACATATATTCTTTTCAGGGGTACAGATGAAGACAACCAAAAGAAAGCATTTAGAAAATGGTTTTCTCACATAGGAGAGCTTAGATCTCTATTTCCCAAAGCTTCTGTTGTGGCTCTCAGTGCTACATGCACTCTGAAGATTCAACATAGAGTGATGAAAGTTTTATGTTTGTCACCATCTACCAAGGTGATCAAACTTCCACCAAATCCAACCAATGTAAAACTCTGTGTCTCCAAGGTGCCTTACAATATAGAACATTCTATGGCATTTCTTGCAGATGCAATCACGGATTCCAATTTTCCGAAAACGCTGATGTACTGTACTTCAATAACAGACTGTGCAGCCATATATAATTATTTGTGCAAAGAACTACCAGACTGTGAAATTGAAATGTACCACTCTGAAACAGAACAGGAAAAAAAGGATTCAATACTTGGATTATTACAGGACCCATCATCTAAATGGAAGCTCATTATAGCGACCAATGCACTGGGCATGGGGATTGATGTTAAAGACTGTCACTCTCTCATCTTATTTGGAGCTCCAAGATTAATCGTGGATTTATTACAGGAGATTGGGAGAGTGGGAAGGGATCAGCAGCCTTCTCTTGCCTTACTACTGCATCATGGACACCATTTGAGTCACGTCGAAACGGAAGTAAAAGAATTTTACAAAGCTGCCACTTGTCGAAGACAGATGTTGATGACCAACTTCTTATCAGAATCCGAGATGAATTCGGTGAAAGTCCAGAGTGGCAACCACACTTGTTGTGACTTGTGTATAAAAGACTGTTCATGTTTAAACTGTACGGATATGTTATATCTGGAGAAGTCTTTCCTTGGGATAAGCATAGACAGTGCCGATAGTGTCGATAGTACAGACTCTGACTCTGATTTCTCTGAAGAGCTGCTTGTAGGTGATGATTATGATGAGTAAAGAATGGAACTCTGAAAGTAATGTTCTCTTGTCTTAGATCTGCAAATTTACCCATGAAGGATATGGAGAAATGAACTGTTTTCAATATCAAAGTCCATAAAACAATACAAAATAGGAGCAGAGCAAACACGGACCTTTAAAACAACAAGGTGGGATAAGGTGCCATGGAGGAGTGAGCATCCCCTGCAGACCGGTCACACTCGCCGTGTGCTCCTTGTCATGATCGGGAAATAACAGAAATATCTGTTAACACTTAGTATGAAAAACTTCAGTCAGCATTTGACTCAGTGATAAATTGTACAAATTCAAAGCTTATATTGTATTCAAACCTTAAGTTAATTGCTTATTTGTACAAGTATTGTATTTATTGTTTAGTGGAAATATTTATTGGTTTAGTGGGAAATTTAAGTTAAAATTTGAAATTTTCATGCGCTGTAATTCATGAACATATCAACATGATTAAAATTATTTACAATTTATTTTTATTAAAGACTTCTTTCAAAAAGGCTTTTCTTCATTTGAGGCCATATTTAAAAGAATGTTTATTTGCCCTCTACTGACTAAGGGTAAAATTATAGGGTGAGTTGAAAGGTGGAAAAATCTTATTTCCAGATAATTTTAACATATTTGTTGACGAGATAAGAGGAATTAAGAAAAATATTGTGTTCTGGTATGTAAAAAAAGGATTTGAGTTTGGCCATTTCTAATCAGCCTAGAGAGGGTAACCAAATAATTTTTCAAAGATGGTCTGATCGAGGTACTGTTGGTATAATATTTAAATAAGTGCTTCTTTTTCAACTAACTAAAGTGAAAAATGCAAAACTTCAAGAATTCATGCTTATATCATTTAACTTAAAGCTTAACTTATGAACTAAAAGATATTTGCGAGAAGTTAAGAACAATGGAAAAATTTTCAAGATATGGAATATTTATACAATCACATGGACATCAAATATTTCCACCCCTAGATAATAAAACAACACAATTTTTTGTAACATATGACTTTATATTTTTAGCTCTGACATGAATAACATCAAAACATTTAGAAACTCACTCAATCAAACTAGGTGGCTTTTTGCCACAATTTAACAGATGTAGCAGGTACATGCAGGAGTCACTTGTGAACAAATTTGGTGAAAACAAGGAAGCAAACAAACAAACTTCACACAAAGGGGGGACAATATATTGTTTTTAACCTGTTTGTGCATATGTCCTTCACAAATTTTTCCATACATTTTATATTGTGGGAATCATTTCTGATCAATTTATTATCCCATATTAACTTCCTATTTATCCGTGTACCTGTCAATAATATACATGTATAACAATGATACAATTTGTCACAGTTTTCTCTGCAACTACTGATTGCAGATGCTTGGAATTTTTTGTTGAGGTATGCCATATGGTGGGATTCATTTCTGTTCACATCCAATGTCAACTTCCTGTTTATCTGTGTAACTGTCTGTTCTGTACATAACAAATTTTTGTCGCAGTTTTCTCAGCAACTACCGATTGCAGATGCTTGAAATTTTAGCACATTCTTTGCTGAGGCATGCCATATGGTGGGATTCATTTCTGTTCACATCCAATGTCAACTTCCTGTTTATCTGTATAACTGTCCGTTCTGACGTACATAATAAATTTTTGTCGAAGTTTTCTCAGCAACTACCGATTGCAGATGCTTGAAATTTTTGCACATTCTTTGCTAATGCATGCCATATGGTAGGATTCATTTCTGTTCAAATCCAATGTCAACTTCCTGTTTATCTGTGTAATTGTCTGTTTTGTACATAATAAATTTTTGTAGCAGTTTTCTCAGCAACTTCTGATTGCAGATGCTTGAAATTTTAGCACATTCTTTGCTGAGGAACGCCATATGGTGGGATTCATTTCTGTTCAAATCCAATGTCAACTTCCTGTTTATCCGTACGTCTGTCTTTAACTGAACTTTTGTCTTAAAGTCATATGGTAGTGATACATTAATAAATGCAATTTAATTATCAGGGTAAAAAATAATTATGAAATGCGTCTTAGATCAAATTTCAAGTCTTCATGCCAAAATAGTCATAACTTAAGATCTGTTCGTGCAATTCTTAATTTGACCTTGAATGGTAAAAGGGGTCAATGTCAAACATTTTCATGTAGTGCATTTAGTCTTAATTTGCTCTTCCTTGTTATAAAGTTATTACCTAGACTATATTTTTATGAAAAATATTGACCTTGCCTTTATTAATAGATCATGGTAAACAAATTTGGGATTCACCTATGCCACCTCCCCCTGTTCCAAGTTTGAAGTCTTGATGTCAAAGGGTTCTCAAGTCATGGTCAAATTATTTTTTTGGTCAAATCTATATATATAATATTTCGCAGATTAATGGACAGACAGACATCAGACAAAATGTGATCAGAAAATCAGATAAGCTCTGAGCTAAGATGATCCAAACAAGACAAAATATCATTCAAAGTCTCCTGTCTCTCAAGCGTTTGAATGGTACATATGGTCTGTGTCGATGCAGAAGTGATGCCATTCCTAGGTGACTATCCCTGTAGATATCTCTATCAGTGTTCAGTTTTCTGCAATGGAGTTTCCGTCCGTTCTGTGTGGTAAGAGCAGCTATAGCTATCAAATCAGTTGTGACCTTCTGTACGTCTGCTTTGTAAGATGGTAAATAATGGAATCCCTTTCGATTTCTTGCCTCTGAGATTTTGTCAAAATGCTTGGCAGATTCCACGAGCAGAGGAAATTCCTTAGAATGCATCATTATGCTAGCCTTTGTCTGGTAGCCAGAACATACAACCTTGCTGTCTCTGTTCAAAATTTCCACGTACTCATCAAGGGCAAGGTTATGATTCTTCCCACCTTGAATATTTATGAATCTATTGGAAATCAGGCGCTGTCTTTGCTCACTATCCAACACCTCTTTTGTCAGTGCAGTTAGATGGATGCTCCCTATCAAATATTTGATTTTGCCGGTCTTGTTGTACAACGGCAACTCGTACAGGGCCGATCTTACACTCCGGTGACCATCCCCCATGTTCACTGCAGAGTCCAAATTTTTATGAAGTAATGTTAGTTTGAATAAAGCTAGCAAATACTCATTCAGCTCGTCATCAGCTTTATGCTTTACTATTTTCTTCTTTGGAAGTGATACTTGGTGCTGATTGGCTTCATGAATTTGTAAACTTCCCACGCATGCTTATGTTTTATCGCAGTGGTGACACTGCAAGCGATCTTCAACTTTGTTTGAAACCCAATAGTTATCGGGATGATTTGGATCTGTAACAATATCACGGACATCTTTCATCATATCCTCCGCATCTTCAAAGAAGAACGTCTGCACAATAGTTTGGGCTTTGCTATTTAACCAACCAATCTTCTCATCAGTTGAATAATTTCTGAAGTCTGCTGGTAATGTGAAATCTTGTATCGAATTTAAACCTTCCAAATGTAGAAACATTGCACAGCATATGGCATCCAACACTGTATAATACAGCATTTTGTGAGGCCTGTAGGCATTTTTCACTTTTCCTTTAACATCTCGTGAATTCAGGAGATTCCGGTAATAGGACATGGTGCCTTGATCCATAGATGAATCGGTGTTGTACGTCAGTTTGTAAATGGCCTACAATATTTATTTCATAGTCAGAGTTCTCTCAAAATAGAATAATTTAAACTTTCTTTATGAATTTGTTAAAGTAGTTTTTAACCGAGTGTCCCCCATATGGGGCCTGAGGGCTGATATGACATATGATATGGATTTTCGGCCCGCAGGTCCGATACATGATATGAATTTTCTGACCGGTCTGTGATATGGGGTATTATGACGTCATCCGTTTCAAATCGTGTAGAATAGGTCTATTTTCTACTAAGTATATGATAAACATTCATATTAAATATTTACATATACTTTTTTTGATGAGCTGTCCTGATGCGGACATTATCTATTTTACTAATGATACGGTATTTCATGTGCAAAAGTGGTGACGGTAGCAGGTTCAAGTTCAGTGTATGGTGGATGTGATCATGCCATACGGAAGGCATCCAATGCAATAGATGGAGCAACGAAATGTGGAACGGGCGATAGCCTTGATCAAGCTAGAACCAAACTACAGATAAATCCCTGGCTCAAAGTCACCCTTATCTACGCCAGCAATGTTGAAAAAGTAGGCTTTAACTTAATCGTTTAACGTTGCGTCTCCAAAAATTGACCATTTAAAGGACAGGTATCTTCCAAGAATTGTTACGAAGGAACTGCTGTACTTGGCAATAATCAATGTTTTTTTTAAACGAATTATATACAGCTTCTCCAATCCATTGGAAAAAAATAGCCCCACACCATCTCATACATTTTTACTTTTGTACATCATCATAAAAGCACATTTGAGACTATAATAGCGCAATGTAATGATATATATAGATTAGATTTACAACTTGAATTACTTTTATCCATAATTGACAATGTTCGAATCCCAACATTCCAATATCGCATACTTCCATGTATATTCCATTAATATGCATTTCCTCCGATAATGTAATTAACCATTTTTAACCTCCTGAGACCTCCATCTTATACATATTCATATATGACACAGAAACAATAAGTTATGTTGCACTCTGCCACCACTGGGACTTTATCAATTAACCCAATTTTAATCACATAAAATGATGTAAATCACATTAAATGTTTATGTAATCACAACCTAATTAAAATTTGATATACAATTATGAATATTTGATTATTTACCCCAATAATCTTTTAATCAATATTAATTAATAATTCCCATTAATTTTCCCATTAATGATGTAAATGATTACATAATTTTAAACCATCCTATACCTTGTGGTCTGAAACCGCAATACATAAACAAATAAAATATAGGTTTATTTATTAAAAAGGAAGGTGGAGGGGTGGAGGTGGATGAAAATCGTAGAAAAATTTCCAGTGAGTTAATGCTCCGGCGTCCTGAAAGAAAGTGACGACCCACGCTATCTCAAAAGAGACGCACCTTCAGTTTCCCGCGAAACGATTCTATTGGTTCTATCTTGCAGCATTCACATAACTTACCATATAAGAAGATGCTATTGAAATTAAGCTGGAGTACATCGCAAGAGCGATAACTCCCGCATTTGAGAAAGAAATCCATTATCAATATACATAAAGTATTTTAAGTAAACTTAAAATTCTTTTATCCGTAATTGACAATGTTCGAATCCCAACATTCCAATATCGCATGCTTCCATGTATATTCCATTAATATGCATTTCCTCCTGTATATTGATATATATATTGAAACAGATTGTTGTGTTAAATCCAATACTCAGCAGTCTGAATTCCTTGAACTTATCAGATAAATGAGAAGATATTGCAGATACCAATATCTTTAAAATGAATTTTATGAAAAAAATATTGAAAAGGATAAATCAGACATCGTTTACCAGTAACAATTAATACTTCCATATTAACAACAGTTGACATTGTAATAATTAGCCAATCATAATAAAGATTTTTTCCTATTTTATTGAAATGCATATTACATTGAATAATATTAATTCTAATGCAATTGTTTTGTAAAACACTTTTTAGCTCACCTGAGCTGAAAGCTCAATTGAGCTTTTCTGATCACATTTCGTCCGGCGTCCGTCTGTCTGTCCGTCTGTAAACTTTTCACATTTTCGACTTCTTCTCAAGAACCGCTGGGCCAATTTCAACCAAACTTGCCATAAGGTATCCTTAGGTGAAAGGGATTCAAGTTTGTTCAAATGAAGGGCCACGCCCTCATTCAAGGTGAGATAATTGGGAATTAATGAAAATTTGGTGGCATATTTTTAAAATCTTCTTCTCAAGAACCTCTGTGCCAGAAAAGATGAAACTTATGGGGAAACATCCTCAGGTAGTGTAGATTCAAGTTTGTTCAAATCATGCCCCCCAGGGGTAGGGCGGGGCCAAAATGGCCGACCAAAGTTTTACATAAAAATATATAGGAAAATTCTTTAAAAATCTTCTTCTCAAGAATGACAAAGCCATAATTCATCATATTTATATGGAAGCATGCTCAAGTAGTGTAGATTCAAATTTGTTCAAATCATGACCCCCAGGGGTAGGGCGGGGCCAAAATGGCCGACCAAAGTTTTTAAAGATATATATAGGAAAATTCTTTGAAAATCATTTTCTAAAAAAATAGCAAATCAATGAGTGGTCATGGGACTACTTTTGGATTTAAACTTTACAATAAAAAGCCATTTTCTACTTTTTCCTACCCTAAGTGCTCAGGTGAGTGATGTGGCCCATGGGCCTCTTGTTAATTGGCTAATTCACTGATGTTTGAGGCAGTAAGACGAGCATTAACGAGCGTGAAAGCTTTATCATTGTGACGTCACAATAGAGCGACGCAAAACACAATGCTCCGTGACGTATTTCATGTAACAGAATTCATAAAAATAAGACATAATCAACAAACGAAATGCATGGATTGCATTACAATGGAAATAACTGATCTTTTAATTTGGTATTTGCGACCGTTAATGCTGATTTAATGGTCGCAAACAACCGTTTTACCGGCTCCGCTTACGCATCGCCAGTAAAACTCAGTTTGCGACCGTTAAATCAGCATTAACGGTCGCAAATACCAAATTAGAAGATAGTTATTCCCTAATTCTACTCAGGAAAAAAGCATTTAAAATTCCCTTAAGTTTATTTTTACTTAAACACAAATTTTACTTTGCGTTTTAAGTACATATTTAATAACATGTAAATCTCATGATCATTGTCTCCAATGAATTGATCAATACTTAATGTTCTATAAAGTTTAACCCCCTGGAAAAAGTGGCATAGATCCATAAAATATCTAACTGGAATACTGAAAAATTTTAAATGTATTCAGAATACTTGTTTTGAAATGCCAAAAAAGATTAGAGAGACGGGATGTATAAATTAAAATTTATTGTCGATTTGTAGAAAGGGTGTTCAAAGTTTGTCACGTCGAAAAGTGACGTTGATGATGTATAATAGATGCTGAAGTCCGACAAGCAAAAATGCTGTTATAATTATGTTAGGGTTTTTCACTTTATTTAGATCTATTCACAAAATTATTTGCATTAAAATCAGCTGTTCGTGATATTGTACATTGTACAATCAAATACTGTAGACGTTCTTTTTTACACGGGGTCATTATTCCGCGGAATCTCAATTTCTGTTTAATCCGCGTATAGAAAATACGCAGATTTCTTAGACTGTTACTATATGCTTTACATTTATATAAGGTACGCTTGGACAAATTTCCGCGGAAATTTAGTGACCGCGTACATAGCGTAAATTAATACCACGCAGAAAAAAGTACTTCTACAGTAAAGAAGACCGGTTTTAATATCTTATTAACTTCGAAGAATCTCATCAAGATAAGTGTATGAGGTAGAAAATGTTGACCCCGAGAGTCAATGACGCCATGGAACTAAATGGCGGCAGCACCGGGTGATCAATTAAGTTTTTGTCCCCCACTTTCTCGAAAGCGAGGGGGATATGTATGTCTGTCAGTTAGTCTGTCTCTCCGTCCGTTAAAAAAACGTTAACCTTGCCCATAACGTTTGATTAAGTGGAGCTATGACTTTCATATTCCACATGTGAATTCCTTGTGACAAGACTTTCTTTGGGTACATATACCATCAAATTTGACTTTTTTGACCTTGACCTTGGAATTCCACCCACTTTTACACAAAAGTTCAAATATTTACTTTGGCCATAACAGCTCATACTAAGATTCTTATATTTTACCTATGTATATTTTGTGGCAAGACCTTTCATTGAATATCAATAACTTAGACCTTTTTACCTTGACTTTGGAGATTTCCGGACTTGTGAAAAATCATTAACCCTGGCCGTAACTTTAAAATGGAAAGGGCTAGGGCTTTCATACTTCACATATGTAATCCCTGTGAGAAGTCCTTTCATTGGATTACAATAATTTTGACCTTCTGACCTTGGAGTTTGGTCTACTTAAATTTTAAAAACTTTAACCTTGGCCATAACTTTTGAAGGGTAAGGGCTAGGGCTTTCATACTTCATATATTTAATCCTTGAAACAAGACCTTTCATTGATATTAATAACTTTGACCTTAGAGTTCAAGCTACTTTTTAAAAACTTTAATCATGGCCATAACTTTAGAAAGGTAATTGCTAGGGCTTTCATAAGCTTCAACTTGGGTGATAATCTCTAAATGATATATGATAGGGTGTTTATATTTGACATCTCACTCACAAAGACACCGAGGGCGGGGTACCACAATTCTTTGAATTTGCTTTTATCTATTATTATTTTTTAAGGATAATTTGATAAATATACAGCTGAAGGTATCAAGCTAAAATTTTCAAATATTTCTTTAACAATTTTTTTTTGCTGTTCCTTAAACATTTTTTGAGCATAAACTAGATGGTATAGTTTTTTCGTATCATTCAGTGACTTTTTCGAACATCCCGCGTTCAGTTTTACTGTTCTCATAATCCTATTATACCATTATTAAATTAAAAGTACCAAATTGTTTCCTGTCACTTCAAAGTGCATATCAAGTCATGAAAAAGTCTTTTTTTTTAAGTACATCAAACTCCAAGATTAAGTCAATAAGTTTAAAAATGTTTATATCTAAGGAAAGGCTTTTTCCCTTGAATAAGACATGTGAAATATGAAGGCCATAGAACAAGAAGTTTCAATATTATTTTCAAAGTTAACGTTGTGTAAATTTGGTCATACTCAAATGTCAAATTCAAAAGGTCAAGGTTTACATGTATTGGAATGTTCAAGGTTCTATGGACAACAAACAACCAGATTAACATATAAACTAACAGACAGATGGGCAGAATTAAAATTACAATAAAACATTCGCAGTACAGTTAAGGTGCGCAATGGAAATATCGACTAAATTTTGTATTTGAAAATATATTCGTAATCGGGATGGCGATTATTTTTAGTACATTATTTATATCGGATAATTGTCATGATTAATAACTACATATCGAGGACGATTATATTCTATATTTAGACTAGTCACGTGATGCGGCAGTCACGCGATTTTAGCACATTGACTTGAAGTATTGATGTTACATATAAATATCACTAGTGCAAGGGCAATAAACCAAGTATAAATTTCCAAGTAAAAAGTTAGTATATAATTATATTTGACCGAATCAACACGCATTGTAGTTTCTAAAAAGTGCTGCGATGTCCTTGCCTGTCTAAATTCTGCAATTTCATTGTTAAAATTATACTTGTATGACCGAATGCTATATTTTTTGATAGTCAGCGGCATTATTTATGTTTAAAGTAATTAAATTCTTTTTAAGATTTCATCAGGATCTCAGCACTTTTCAGAAACCTTGATAGTTCTTTAGTTGAAATGTAAAAGCTTACTTTGATCCATAGAGTGTATGTCCTTGCACTAGATCGATTTATTAAGACCCCCACATTACCCTCCGATGTACTTGCATACGAATATACGGCAGTGTCAATTAGATACGTAATATACAGAGAATATATTAATAAAATAGTGAAGAAGATATTAAATTCAAGTTATTGGCACATAGAATATCTAATTAAAATCAGATCTGTCTTCTACGCCACGTTGTAGAAATGACCATATTGCCGATCAGTGACTTGTTTATAACTTGTTATTTGGGATTTAACAATGATTAAACAATACGTTGTAGTAAGTTTTTATGCAATCTAATTAAAATCAGACTTCTGACATAACCCGACATAACCCAGGGGTCATGTTCACGTGAACTTTATGACGTGAATATTCATTTAAAAATAAGCCAATCAAATCGTAGCAATCTTCAGTCGTTAGGAAGGTGTTTAAAAATGGCTGACATCGATCGAGCGATTGTAAATATACAACAACAATTAAACATCTCGTTAAAAAATGAACAGAAAGAAATACTGGAGTTGATCCTACAGAAGAAAGACTGCGTTGGTGTATTGCCCACGGGTTTTGGGAAGAGTCTTCCGTATCAGTTGTCCATATTAACAAGACAGGGACTGACGGAATCAGCTGATCGAGTTGGGAAAGTTATCGTGTGTTCTCCACTAGTAGCACTGATGAAGGATCAAGTCCAACGTGTGCACAGACTAACAGGATGTAGAGCCGAGATACTAGGTAATAAACTTTTTGTGTGTGTACAAATAAATTAAATGCATTTTTTTTAATTTGTAACTCTATGCATATATAGCTATAATCCGAGATTCCTCTGACTCTAACCCCCGCTTTTATATTGTGACTTGTGCGGGGAATTCACACACCGATCTCCATTCTCGTAATTTACAATTAAAGAATTCATTTTAAATACGTTTTGATGATAGTATATCAATGATATATAAGAAATAAATATAATTTTTGAAGATGCTGGGGAAGCTCCTAAGATATCTTGTGGGTGAGAGAGTTTATGTGTGTTAGAAAAAAAATAATCATGAATAAAATATATGTTCCCTTGACCCTAGCTGCAGAACTGTAAAAAAAAATTAACTTAAATTATGACACACATCTGTATATACACATCTTTTAATCTTATTATTGTAAAAAAAAAAAAAAAAAAAACTTTATGTCTTAATTCTCAGATGGTCCCTTAATTGGAAAATAAAATTATTTTTTCCATACATTTGGATTAAACATTTGAATTCCTGATTATTTGCTTGACCTTTCATCAATTTTACACATGAAAACTCATTGAAAAGACTGTGGCAGAAAACAACAAGAAATAAGTTGTATTTTTTAAACATATTACAGGCAATGACAAGACAGGTGATTTTGCCATTAGAGATGGTAAAGTGGATTTCATATTTGGATCCCCAGAGACTCTTGTTGGGAACAAAGAGTGGAGGTCTTCGTTGCAGAAACTTCAAGTTGACACCATAGTAGTGGATGAATTTCACACAATAGCAACATGGTAAGTCATATATGTTTACCTAACTTAAATCATGCAGCATATTCCTATGTCCCTGTCAGTGACACATAAACAGAATATGACATGTAAATTGAATAAACAGAGTATGACATGTAATATTTTTCCTTAATCAATTGCCAGACTGTCTAATGTGTGTTACACTGTACATATATTCTTTTCAGGGGTACAGATGAAGACAACCAAAAGAAAGCATTTAGAAAATGGTTTTCTCACATAGGAGAGCTTAGATCTCTATTTCCCAAAGCTTCTGTTGTGGCTCTCAGTGCTACATGCACTCTGAAGATTCAACATAGAGTGATGAAAGTTTTATGTTTGTCACCATCTACCAAGGTGATCAAACTTCCACCAAATCCAACCAATGTAAAACTCTGTGTCTCCAAGGTGCCTTACAATATAGAACATTCTATGGCATTTCTTGCAGATGCAATCACGGATTCCAATTTTCCGAAAACGCTGATGTACTGTACTTCAATAACAGACTGTGCAGCCATATATAATTATTTGTGCAAAGAACTACCAGACTGTGAAATTGAAATGTACCACTCTGAAACAGAACAGGAAAAAAAGGATTCAATACTTGGATTATTACAGGACCCATCATCTAAATGGAAGCTCATTATAGCGACCAATGCACTGGGCATGGGGATTGATGTTAAAGACTGTCACTCTCTCATCTTATTTGGAGCTCCAAGATTAATCGTGGATTTATTACAGGAGATTGGGAGAGTGGGAAGGGATCAGCAGCCTTCTCTTGCCTTACTACTGCATCATGGACACCATTTGAGTCACGTCGAAACGGAAGTAAAAGAATTTTACAAAGCTGCCACTTGTCGAAGACAGATGTTGATGACCAACTTCTTATCAGAATCCGAGATGAATTCGGTGAAAGTCCAGAGTGGCAACCACACTTGTTGTGACTTGTGTATGAAAGACTGTTCATGTTTAAACTGTACGGATATGTTATATCTGGAGAAGTCTTTCCTTGGGATAAGCATAGACAGTGCCGATAGTGTCGATAGTACAGACTCTGACTCTGATTTCTCTGAAGAGCTGCTTGTAGGTGATGATTATGATGAGTAAAGAATGGAACTCTGAAAGTAATGTTCTCTTGTCTTAGATCTGCAAATTTACCCATGAAGGATATGGAGAAATGAACTGTTTTCAATATCAAAGTCCATAAAACAATACAAAATAGGAGCAGAGCAAACACGGACCTTTAAAACAACAAGGTGGGATAAGGTGCCATGGAGGAGTGAGCATCCCCTGCAGACCGGTCACACTCGCCGTGTGCTCCTTGTCATGATCGGGAAATAACAGAAATATCTGTTAACACTTAGTATGAAAAACTTCAGTCAGCATTTGACTCAGTGATAAATTGTACAAATTCAAAGCTTATATTGTATTCAAACCTTAAGTTAATTGCTTATTTGTACAAGTATTGTATTTATTGTTTAGTGGAAATATTTATTGTTTTAGTGGGAAATTTAAGTTAAAATTTGAAATTTTCATGCGCTGTAATTCATGAACATATCAACATGATTAAAATTATTTACAATTTATTTTTATTAAAGACTTCTTTCAAAAAGGCTTTTCTTCATTTGAGGCCATATTTAAAAGAATGTTTATTTGCCCTCTACTGACTAAGGGTAAAATTATAGGGTGAGTTGAAAGGTGGAAAAATCTTATTTCCAGATAATTTTAACATATTTGTTGACGAGATAAGAGGAATTAAGAAAAATATTGTGTTCTGGTATGTAAAAAAAGGATTTGAGTTTGGCCATTTCTAATCAGCCTAGAGAGGGTAACCAAATAATTTTTCAAAGATGGTCTGATCGAGGTACTGTTGGTATAATATTTAAATAAGTGCTTCTTTTTCAACTAACTAAAGTGAAAAATGCAAAACTTCAAGAATTCATGCTTATATCATTTAACTTAAAGCTTAACTTATGAACTAAAAGATATTTGCGAGAAGTTAAGAACAATGGAAAAATTTTCAAGATATGGAATATTTATACTATCACATGGACATCAAATATTTCCACCCCTAGATAATAAAACAACACAATTTTTTGTAACATATGACTTTATATTTTTAGCTCTGACATGAATAACATCAAAACATTTAGAAACTCACTCAATCAAACTAGGTGGCTTTTTGCCACAATTTAACAGATGTAGCAGGTACATGCAGGAGTCACTTGTGAACAAATTTGGTGAAAACAAGGAAGCAAACAAACAAACTTCACACAAAGGGGGGACAATATATTGTTTTTAACCTGTTTGTGCATATGTCCTTCACAAATTTTTCCATACATTTTATATTGTGGGAATCATTTCTGATCAATTTATTATCCCATATTAACTTCCTATTTATCCGTGTACCTGTCAATAATATACATGTATAACAATGATACAATTTGTCACAGTTTTCTCTGCAACTACTGATTGCAGATGCTTGGAATTTTTTGTTGAGGTATGCCATATGGTGGGATTCATTTCTGTTCACATCCAATGTCAACTTCCTGTTTATCTGTGTAACTGTCTGTTCTGTACATAACAAATTTTTGTCGCAGTTTTCTCAGCAACTACCGATTGCAGATGCTTGAAATTTTAGCACATTCTTTGCTGAGGCATGCCATATGGTGGGATTCATTTCTGTTCACATCCAATGTCAACTTCCTGTTTATCTGTATAACTGTCCGTTCTGACGTACATAATAAATTTTTGTCGAAGTTTTCTCAGCAACTACCGATTGCAGATGCTTGAAATTTTTGCACATTCTTTGCTAATGCATGCCATATGGTAGGATTCATTTCTGTTCAAATCCAATGTCAACTTCCTGTTTATCTGTGTAATTGTCTGTTTTGTACATAATAAATTTTTGTAGCAGTTTTCTCAGCAACTTCTGATTGCAGATGCTTGAAATTTTAGCACATTCTTTGCTGAGGAACGCCATATGGTGGGATTCATTTCTGTTCAAATCCAATGTCAACTTCCTGTTTATCCGTACGTCTGTCTTTAACTGAACTTTTGTCTTAAAGTCATATGGTAGTGATACATTAATAAATGCAATTTAATTATCAGGGTAAAAAATAATTATGAAATGCGTCTTAGATCAAATTTCAAGTCTTCATGCCAAAATAGTCATAACTTAAGATCTGTTCGTGCAATTCTTAATTTGACCTTGAATGGTAAAAGGGGTCAATGTCAAACATTTTCATGTAGTGCATTTAGTCTTAATTTGCTCTTCCTTGTTATAAAGTTATTACCTAGACTATATTTTTATGAAAAATATTGACCTTGCCTTTATTAATAGATCATGGTAAACAAATTTGGGATTCACCTATGCCACCTCCCCCTGTTCCAAGTTTGAAGTCTTGATGTCAAAGGGTTCTCAAGTCATGGTCAAATTATTTTTTTGGTCAAATCTATATATATAATATTTCGCAGATTAATGGACAGACAGACATCAGACAAAATGTGATCAGAAAATCAGATAAGCTCTGAGCTAAGATGATCCAAACAAGACAAAATATCATTCAAAGTCTCCTGTCTCTCAAGCGTTTGAATGGTACATATGGTCTGTGTCGATGCAGAAGTGATGCCATTCCTAGGTGACTATCCCTGTAGATATCTCTATCAGTGTTCAGTTTTCTGCAATGGAGTTTCCGTCCGTTCTGTGTGGTAAGAGCAGCTATAGCTATCAAATCAGTTGTGACCTTCTGTACGTCTGCTTTGTAAGATGGTAAATAATGGAATCCCTTTCGATTTCTTGCCTCTGAGATTTTGTCAAAATGCTTGGCAGATTCCACGAGCAGAGGAAATTCCTTAGAATGCATCATTATGCTAGCCTTTGTCTGGTAGCCAGAACATACAACCTTGCTGTCTCTGTTCAAAATTTCCACGTACTCATCAAGGGCAAGGTTATGATTCTTCCCACCTTGAATATTTATGAATCTATTGGAAATCAGGCGCTGTCTTTGCTCACTATCCAACACCTCTTTTGTCAGTGCAGTTAGATGGATGCTCCCTATCAAATATTTGATTTTGCCGGTCTTGTTGTACAACGGCAACTCGTACAGGGCCGATCTTACACTCCGGTGACCATCCCCCATGTTCACTGCAGAGTCCAAATTTTTATGAAGTAATGTTAGTTTGAATAAAGCTAGCAAATACTCATTCAGCTCGTCATCAGCTTTATGCTTTACTATTTTCTTCTTTGGAAGTGATACTTGGTGCTGATTGGCTTCGTGAATTTGTAAACTTCCCACGCATGCATATGTTTTATCGCAGTGGTGACACTGCAAGCGATCTTCAACTTTGTTTGAAACCCAATAGTTATCGGGATGATTTGGATCTGTAACAATATCACGGACATCTTTCATCATATCCTCCGCATCTTCAAAGAAGAACGTCTGCACAATAGTTTGGGCTTTGCTATTTAACCAACCAATCTTCTCATCAGTTGAATAATTTCTGAAGTCTGCTGGTAATGTGAAATCTTGTATCGAATTTAAACCTTCCAAATGTAGAAACATTGCACAGCATATGGCATCCAACACTGTATAATACAGCATTTTGTGAGGCCTGTAGGCATTTTTCACTTTTCCTTTAACATCTCGTGAATTCAGGAGATTCCGGTAATAGGACATGGTGCCTTGATCCATAGATGAATCGGTGCTGTACGTCAGTTTGTAAATGGCCTACAATATTTATTTCATAGTCAGAGTTCTCTCAAAATAGAATAATTTAAACTTTCTTTATGAATTTGTTAAAGTAGTTTTTAACTACTAGTACATTGTATTTGAATTTGTTAGATAGGCATTTACATAGGAAAAATTATGTATTATTACATATATATGTATACTGTCTTTTAAGACTGGTATAATACAATGAAAAACAGTTTTAATAATTATTGATTGCAAAAAACCTACCTCCATAAAATTCATTAAACGATGAAAATCCTCAATCTTTGATATAAATCCTTCAAGTCTTGATGCCTCAGTATTTCCATTCTTCATTGCTGCTTGTGCCCCCTGAATTCTTTCATCAGTGAGTCTATCTCCTTGAAAAAAGAAAAAGAAAATACCAAATTAACAATTTTTCTGCTAAGGTATTGCCAATGAAATGTGCATTTTTCTAAATAGTATCCCTAGTATTTCTAGGATATCATACTTAAACTTGACATAAAATATACCATCACACAGAATAAAAAAAAAAACTCACCACCAAAAAATATGGGTTCTACAAAGGTACCATCTTCTTTCATGGGAACATACTTCTTTTGAAGTGTCTGTAGAAGTTGTATAACATCCGCAGTTTTCTTTTCATCACAGTCATACAACCCAAGTGGATACTAAATGTAAAAAAAATTAGGTTAATAATGTTATAATTGCATTTAACTAAATGCATAAATAAAGGGTCTGTTTGTCTTAAATGCCTTAAAATTTCCCTTTTCTTAACAAGAATTATATAATTGATCAGCTGAGACTTAAACACAAAGAATAACATTATCTGTTCAACAGAAAATATTAAAAAGAATATTAAATACCTGTTTGGTTTTTAACCCGGCATAATTACTAAATTGATGCTGAAGATGGTCAGGATATATATCCTTCAACTCAGATTCCAGGGAAGGTATATGTTCAATTAGTATTGACGCCACCAGGAAAACAAGTTCCTTCTCTAAAATCTTTTGTTCCTCCAAGGAAGGGAGAAAGGAAGAGATGGGGATGTCTTCATTTACAGGATGCATCTCCTCTTCAACCACTGGTACTCTATCCACAACAGCCAGCACATTAAATAGATGGAGGGACTGGGTACTCTGTTCACTTGTTCTGTTGATGAAATTAAACAATTAATGAAATGACTCTAAATTAATTGATAGGTGTGTTGTTAATTAAGCCATGAAAGCCCCCACAGGCAGCAAAAAATGCCATATTTAATTTTACACTTATTTGTACCATGACCAGATTTCAACTTGACCTGCATTTACAGGTAAAATATCTAAATATGCACCAACTGCAATCTTATACATACTTCGCTACAAAGTTTTTCAGGCAAAAAAAAAAATTAAAGTGGCACAGTGACGCACAAAGGGGAATATTGACAAATGTAGAATTTTCCCATGACCTCTGTAAATTTTGTTTAATTCCTGAAAGTATTAGGTTTCAGAAAATTACAGGTTTCAGAACCTAAAAATTAAATTTTCATTGGGAAAAATAAAAGTAAAAATAATTTCTGTCTGCCCCAGAACGAAAATATTGCAAAATACCCTGGTACTTCTTCCTCCCTGTTATACGCGGGCGCAGAAAAGTGTTGAATAAGTTTCCATAGTTACCATTGTCTCAGGTATCCACGAATGAATATAAGTATACCAAAAAAATTCATGAAATCTTTTTAAAAAGTTTTTAGGACATAATTCTCACCTATGCATGCTCCAGTTGAATTTTGTTTACAAGTTTGAGCTAAAAATAAGAGTAGTGTGACCTTGACATATACGAAACAACGAAACGGTAGATACAACTTTCGTTTTTCCGGCACTTATATTGTGCAGTCAATTCTTGCAGTTTAATTGTCATATCTTCGCTATATACTCATAATTTTCGTAAAGCTTTCTCTGTATGCTACAGATATCTTAAAGTTAAGGTATGATTTTGACTCACTGTGCCACTTTAATTGTAGGTAACCTTTAGGATCACCATGAAAGTTGCTTAAAAAAAGTAACGATTCAGTATTTTGCTTTGTTTCAAAAAAAGGGGTATAATATCGGTTAATGCTTACCTATAGGACGGCAATATATCCTTGTCCCAGTTGTCACCAACTAGCTGATACCTTGCTGCTTGTGTGCATTGATTCACCCAGTCTTCTTTCAACTGCATGATTTTGCAATCAAGAATATGATGTGAGGAGGCCAACTTATTCTGAATTGACAATGGGGACACAGTCACTCCTAACTTGCACAGACGTTCAATGTCCTGAAATGTAATATTTAAAATTTTTAACATACTTAAAAAGGAATGATGAGGTATATGTAGTTGGAAAAAGCAAAAAGAGTATACTAACCCTTTGAGTACACCCTCCATGTTTCAAAAGAAATCCACAAAGGTACTGCAGTGCGGAACTTTCTTGATTTCTTGCATGAAGCACAGTGGCAATGGAATGTAGCAATTGTATGTACTGCTTTTCTCCTGCAATAATTGGCTTGTCAGACACTAGTGTTGATATACACTTCAGCAGATTCGGTGCTTTACTCTCAAGGTCCTTGTATAAAGAATCCCAGGAAAAGCTCAGGAGTTCCTCAAAAGATTTTCTCTCTAAAATAGAACCACTGTGTCTCTGACAGTACTGCTTTGCTTCTGCTGCTAGCAATTTTGTTGCCCCATCCACAAGTTCGTCTGGGTAGGAATTAGCCAGAGCATCAATTATTGCTGGTATGTTGTTCCTCATTATTCCCTTGGAGACCTTCTGAAGAGTGTCGTTGACAACAAGAGCTGACTTTTTTCCAGATGGGTAGTCGATGGAAATCTGCATTACCAATTTAAAAGATTTTTCAAAATTTTTAACACAAAAATTATTAATACTTGATAATGGTATAAAACTCTGATATGGCATCTGACTAACAAATTTACAAGATACTTCAAAAACTTATACCTATAGTTTCAATATTATTTTTTTATTACAGTACATATATTAGATCATTTGTGCATAGTCAATTTTGTTACCATTTTAATGATCAACAAATTATTCCTGACCATTTACAATTATAATGATTGAATACTGTACCTTTCTACACTCATAAAATTGAAGAGCAATTCTTTTCACACAGTCGAATCATCATAACAGTAAAAAAATTCTTTGAAAAATAACTGCTGAACCAGAAAACTAGAAATCTGTCAAGAATTAAAGAAGAAAACAAAAATATAAAACAGTTACTAGTACAAACTTTAATTAACATTGTCATCCTAAAACAATCAACCCTTCAAATCAACTAAATACTTGAAAAAATTATTTAAAAAGTATTTAGGCCTTAGGCATCATTTTTGCACATCTATGAAAAAAATTCAGGTCAAATTCCATAAAGTGGGGAAAAGTGTGTTTTAAGATAAATAATTTACAGATGTTAAAATATATACAGTCAAACATCATTATCTTGAACCTAATGGGGCTGGAAAAAAAATCATGAGATAATGGAGGATTCGAAACATTGAGAGTAAAATACTTAGGGAATATGTGATGAGTCTGCCTCAATTCACTTTGACATACCCTGGGTATTCAAGATATCAAAGTTCAAATGTTTATTATTATAATATTGCTAAATTCCGGGTATAGTATTACATCTTAATAATACAGATAAAAATAAGTTCTCAGATTGAATGCTATGGGATGAGCAAAAAAAAAAAAAAAAATACAAAAAACAAAACAAAAAACATCACTGAAGTATAATATAAGTCAAGCATAACAAGCAACATAAGTATAATGCCTCACCTCTACTTCTCCTTGGCCTTGAAAGGTTTTCATACCAGGTTTGTCTTCTTGTTCTAAGATTTAAAATAAAAATAAATATTTGAAAGTCTGATTTTACAATTAGAATGTTTATATCCATATTAGATATATATTCTAATGACAATTTCTGTTTTCCTTAGAGCTTTTATATGTTTAAGATGAAACAAATCATTACCTGTAGAAAGATTGTCTCCAGAGGGCAATGGATGTAGATCCAGATATTTGGATTTGTCATCTGTGTGAGAAAGAGAGCAATTTATATTTAATCAATTCAAGAAAGTATAAGAAATCAAGACTAGTAAAGAACGTACTAAATTATGTAGCTATAAAACACACATTCCCAATTAATTCACTTTATATTTTTTAATTTTGATTTATTTGTTTGTTCATTTATTGTTTATATTGATTATTATAGGTCCTGAGATATGCTTAATAGGGCTTAAATCCAGAAAAGTGAGAGTAAGGTTTCCTAATGTATACATGGTATAAGATTGCATTTACATGTATTTATAAACAAGACGTTTATTTAATTTTTTTTTTATTTGTAACAAAATACAGTTCATGGATGAAGAAAATATGTGAAACCATACCTTCATTTTGACTTGAGTAATCATTCCCTCCAAAAGATAGGAACTTTCTTGCTGCTGTGAAGTTTTTGTCTTCATGACCTTTAACGTGAAACAATTTTTTTTAATACAAAATTTTATTCACCTAAATTTCTTAATGACCATTCAGTAAAACATTTGAAATGTTTGATTTTTTAAAGTTCAGTTTTCAGTTTCATTTAGTGATTTATGTTCGTTCCTAGGAATATTTTTTAGGACTAAAATAGACTACCATGTTAACTTTTATCAATACCTTTTGACTTTGGCAAAATAGCTTTGTATTTTGAGGAAAAATCAACCACCTCATTGTCAGTACTGGCCCTCTCACAAAAATTCTTGGACTCAGGAACAGCTACCTGTGTAAATTAATGAAACTGATTTCTGCCTTTGTTCTCATTTTACCTCCTGTTTACACAGGGCTGTAATATTGCATGCATGCTTAATCAGGTGCTGATGAAAAAATGATCTAATTCATTGTAGCAAAGATAACTGAGGAAAGAGCTGGGGAACTATAATATATGTACATACCCGGTACATTGTATATGTAAACAGATTTACTCCTATTTGATGAACTTACTACTTATACATGAATATACACATGATGAAATTATGTTGAACTTTTATTTTATAATTTTGATTCAAAAGGTGTACTGTACTAAAAGACATGTCCTTTGTTTATTGTTTAGCGGTTTGGAACCTGTTTAAAACAGGTAGTTATAAGGGTTCTTCATCTTTCATATTAGTACAGTTGTATGTAAAACTTTATTAATGCAATTATAAATATGTTCGTGTAACATACTTCTAAACTGATAATTAATGTGATATCATTTATTGTCTTGTATTGACGGATGAAAATTCCATGATTTTTTATATAATTCAACACCGGCTGACCACAAAAGATGAACTGTATACATATTCGTGATCAGCTGATCAATTTTACGTGATGTCAGCTAGGTCAACTTACCTCTGGCGATCGCAAGCCTCGCTTTTTGACGGATCTTGGCGATTTGGACAGCAATCGTCTCCGGCTTTCCTCAAAACTACTAATAATATTGTCGATTTCATTTCTGTATTTTATCACCTTCTCCACTTTTGCGAAACATCTGACACATATGCCTGTTGCCTGTGGAGGGAGCTCCACTACTTGACTTACGATGGTCTTTTTTTCATCGGTTAGCTTCAACTTAAGTTTATGCAGTTTTTTGACAACACTATTCCCCCTCACGTCAATTTCCTTTACGACGAAGGAAAAACAACATAAACAACATACATCGTTTACGCTATAAATTCGCTGAGGTGTTTTGGGACCGCCTCCGAAATCTTCCATATTCATGGTACTGCCTCGGGATTTACTAATACGTTCGGTGTTCCGATGTATTTTGAGTAAACACCGACGGTTTCAAAGCCGACGCTCTGATTGGCTAAGATAAAGTTCACGTGAACATGACCCCTGGTCGGGTTATGTCAGATCTTCTTACGCAGAGTGTATACGGCGCGGATCTAAGAAGTCTGATTTTAATTAGATTGGTTTTTATGTAGATTGATGATTTCTTACTGGTTAAAATAGCAGATAAACTCATTTTGTGGTATTTCAAAGAAATGTTGTATGACGTATATTGTGAATGATGTCATAGTCAAATTTTAGTCCTGATTTTAATTAGAAACACCTTAAAATTTACTTTCAAATTTCTTTAAAACCTATTTCAAGAATTTATAGATAAACTAGGATTTCGTTTATGTATTGATGTGTTTGTTGTTCATATCGTCGAGAGAGTGGGGAGGAGGGTGGATAAGATAAGAGAGCATGTGTGTTGGTGGATCGGGAATTTACACAATATTTAATATCAGTCTTTATAGTTATGATTTATCAGATTTAAACATTGTACAATAGTCATATATGTATCACGTCATTTTTATAAATTCTAAGATAATCCTCGCGGAAGGAAATAAGTCATAAAAATTAGAAATAAATTGAAATATGGCCAAACAACAATCAGGCAATAAATTTAACACTGTATGTTTGGTGATGAAAAGTACAATCATGTTATTCTGGAACATTTATAATTTATTTTCGATCTCGTTCTTCGTCTTCGACATTATACTAGACAAAAGGTGATTAATTCCTTTGATTAATTTAAGGTAGTGCTTTAGTGACAGGGTACGTGATGATACCTAGTCAGTAGACTCGGCTCCGCCTCGCCATGTATGAAATTTACTAACCAGGTATAATCCCGTACTGTCACTAAAACACTATGGAACTAATATTGTCGGACGTTATACGCAATATTAACTCTCTTTAATGATCGAATATCCCAAGTCCTTATAAATATTTCTAATCAGATATAAAAGTGTCTATGTATAATCTGTATAAATTCACATAAAAATAATCGCGGAAGAAAATCAGTAATAAATCAAAACTGAAGCATAAAGATTGAAATATTCCCAAACTACAATCAGACATTGGATTTAAACTGTATTTTTATTTTAGAAAAGTACAAATATGTTTTTCTGGAACATTTATATTTTGTTTTCGACCTCGTTCTTCGTCTTCTGCATTAAATTTGGCAAAGGGTTATAAATTCTTTTGATTAATTATATACTCTTGGAGGAAAAAAGTCTTTGAAGAGTGAGAAATAATAGATTTTTGAAATTCCACATTGTTTTATAACAAACTATGTCACAATTTACATCGATGAATGCCATTGTTATAGCATATGTGAAATTTCAGAGAAGGAAGATTTCAATGTAACTATGGACAAATATGAGATATGTGCTAGGAAAATGTGTTTGTAAGTACATATATATTAAATCTTAGATATATTAATAGTTAACTATCAATATTTGTTTCTGAATTTGAAATCGATGGTTCATTAAAAATATATGACATATGATTCCAAAGAAATCTATTACAAAGCGTGTAAAGAAGGATACTATGGGACAGAATGCAATACACCCTGTTCAAATGGACAATATGGTATACATTGTGGGCTGATATGCAAGTGTACAAAACAAAACTGTCATCACATTTACGGCTGCAAAAAACATCCGTCAGGAAACACATTTTATATTCCCAGCATGATTAGGTTTTCTGGCATTTTTCGTTATTAATTCTAATGAAAAAAATATGCATACGCTCTTTTTATGATAATTTACTTATTTCTTGAATTTTCAAATTAAAAAAACAAACTCTAAATTTGATACAATATTTGTTATTTTGTGTGTTGGATTTATAAATGAGGATCCCACATACCAGAAATATTCTTCTTGTATGGGGATTGCTTTGATTTCATGTTTTGTAATAATGCAATTTTTTTTTAAAAAACCATTTGCAATTTTGTTTATAAACGCTTGTTTAAATGTTGAGTAGAGTGTAAAGATGGAAAAATCAGTCGTTATTGTGAGAAACCATGTCCTTATCCAGCTTTTGGGAAGCAGTGCCAGAAAGAATGTGGTTGTGAACAGAATCATTGTGACACAAACCTTGGATGTATTGGTTGTATATTTATTTCAACGATAAAAGTCTACGATTTTTTATAAATTTCAAATACAATAAACTTAATCACAAAAATAAAATACGTGTCGAAATTCTCTTAGACTCTAAAACGTTAATAAAGTGTTTTGCATTTGAATAACCACCATAACAACATTTACAAAGTCCCAATAATCCATTGTTGCTTTTTTATACACCATTGTCAGTGCAGATAAAGTTTCATTCTTAAATGCAATGATACCTTATTTAGGTGCATCAACTTTAATTAAAGAAAGC